TTATTTTCGACTCTATGTAATGTATATCAGTGTATGCCATAATAAACATATTATTATTATTATTATTATTATAGTAACATCTGAGGGTGATAATAAATTGTGGAGACGACCTTAGATTATTGAAAATTGTATGCCAAAAATTCAGTTGAACATATTAGGTTGGTTGCAAAGTTTTTATTTTTCGCAAATCTACAGCAATCCTCTTTGAGATATAATGGACTTCTACCACTACCTCTGTTTTCCAGAACTATTTCTGAAATCCCTATTCATCTTGCCAACCCGAGTGTTATGGAGACAGTGACTGTCCCAGCTTCAAACCTGCCTGCTTTTACGGCATCTGTAAGAGTCCCTGTGATGGAGCCTGCGGAGTTGGTGCAAACTGTGAGCTACGTGGTCTCACTCCAGTGTGCTCATGTCCAAGAGATATGACAGGCGATCCGTTCGTAAGATGCAGACCATTCGAACCAAGTAAGTGATGAAAAGAGATTCCAAAAGTGTGAACAAAAATACCTCATTCTGAATACCATGTATCCTTACCATTTTCCTGGAATAATTTCAGTTTGCCTTGGGAAATTCTGGTGCTATCAACGGGACACAGTATTTTGGAAACATCTGAACAGTTTTTTTCTTATTTTTCAGAGGACTTGTGCGAACCAAATCCTTGTGGAAGTAACGCTCACTGTGAACCAGGATTTGATAGATATAACAAAGAGCGACCAGTTTGTACCTGTCCATTCGGATATACTGGAGACCCGTTGAAGGCTTGTTTCAAAGGAGAATGTACTGATGATAGTCAATGTGCTGATAGTCAAGCCTGTATCGAGTATAGGTGAGCACCAATATTTATAGGAGTATGTCTATTGGATTTTTGTTGGTCAAATCCATATGTGCTCTAATACGGGTCATCAAGTTGAATATGGCTCTCACTAGTTTTTAAACAATTTTCAATTGAGCTTATATATTTCTTTCGGCTGATGACGAATCTTAAGACAAAAGTCAATGCTCCGATCTACTTCAAGTAATAGAAAGTTGTCAATTGAGATTGTTTTCACTTCTGCATGCTGTGGACCTTCATTCACTTGCCATTCGCTTTTTTCCTACACATTCCTGTACAAAATCAACCAGATAGGTCATTTTTCAATGTCTCAGAGGGAACTTCTTCTGGATGACAAATCGTTCACCTACTTACGTCAAGATGAAATGTGATTTCATTCAGATGCGTATTATTCGGGGAAATGAATGTTATTTCCTGGTAAGTGAGAAAAATATGTTTCTTGGCCGTCTAGGTCGCCGGTCCTAACATCAATGGATGTTTCTATATAAGGAACAGTAAAATCAAAGATTCATTGTACTACTAACGTGAGAACATCAAAATGAGAATTATTGATCATTTGAGCCGGGCGAGGAAGAACTTTCTGAATAGATTCCAAAAAAGTATCGAACTCAGAAGAATATTTTTTTGAACAAGCTATGTAAAGTAACAGTGAGGAAGTACCCTTCTTGTTAATTTCTCATGAGTTCAGAAATGTGGCGAAATTAATTTTTTAATTAGATTATTGAGAAGCAAGCATAATGTTACAAATTTTTCTCTCAGAAGAAGTTCCATGTTTGCCCCTTTGAGGGGCATACTGCAGTTTGGGTCGGATCTTTCCTGCACTAACAGGGGGTAACACCCCGAAACACTTCTGTAGGCCAGTGTTACTCTCTTCATTCGGGTTTGAAGACCGTCGTAGTTCAGAAATGTGGCGAAATGAATTTTCCAATTAGATTATTGAGAAGCAAGCATAGGTTACACATTTTTCTCTCAGACGAAGTTTCATATTTGCCCCTTCGAGTGGCATACTGCAGTTTGGGTCGGATCTTTCCTGCACTAACAGGGGGTAACAACCCGAAACACTTCTGAAGGTCAGTGTTACTATCTTCATTCGGGTTTGAAGGCCGCCGTAGTTCAGAAATATGGCGAAATGAATTTTCCAATTGAATCATTGAGAAGCAAGCATTAGTTGCTTGAGGGGCATACTGCAGTTTGGGTCGAATCTTTCCTGCACCAACGGGGGATAACACCCCGATACACTTCTGTAGGTCAGTATTACTATCTTCATTCAGGTTTGAGAGCCGTCGTAGTTTGGACGAAGCTAACTTTTCACGAGATTCTATTATGAACTTTCACAATGACCATTTGGGGGCTTACGAAAATCCCCACGTAATTGGTCCATTTTTTCTACCAGCAAGATTAACATGATATTTGTGATATTTTATAAGTACGGTTTTTTTTAAACCTCAACGCCCTGTATCTTAGAAACGAAGCAACTCCAGACATGTTTATAGGAACTTTTTTTCTTAAAGCGACCTAACGAATCACCCTCTGAAGTTTCGTACCGTAGTTAGGAGACACCCTGTATAAATCCAAATACACTCACACAAGAGTGTTATACAAGCTCAACCTTTGTACCTAGATACATCTGGCAAAAAACAAGCTGAAACAGAAATTAAATTTTCAAAACAAATACTGATAAACTTAATTATTCAATGAGGTAATCAAATAATGTATTGATTAGGCTTTTTAAGTATGAAAAACAATTAACAGCGGTACCTTGCACTATTTAATAATTTACAAAATACTTTGAAAAATTCTTGGTTTCTTGAAAAATGAAAGATTGTTGTAAGTGTAAAATTTGGTATAGAAAAGAGGGTTTTTTATATTATATCGAACCTAGGAAAGGTATTGGTTCAGATACCCAGTCGGATTGGACTTAAAAAAAAACTTAAGAACTAGTACTCGATACTGAAAAATTACAAGAGATTTAAGTCGCTCACTTTATTCACACATGAAAATACTCGAAGTAATGATTATATCATAGTTCTTGGAAACCCTCACTTCTGCCGGTCCAGTGGCCTTGGTGAATCTTGATACAGGCTGTGAACACTCGCTATCAGTTCCTTCCATTCTTCGTCTTCACTGAACTCTGATAGCTCTCCCAATAGATCCTTCAAAGTTATCGTTTTATCCATCTTAGCAGCATCGAAAGGCAACTCTTCTATGAATTTCTGTATATCCTCTATCGTGGGGAACTCTTTCATGGGTTCCCTCTTTTTCGGTTTCTTTCTGCCGAACATTCTCCTGTACATGTATCTATTCAGGAAGTAAATCGCTATGGCGCTCGATAGTATCACTAAAATTTTCTTGTAATGTTTCTGGAAGTGGTTCAAAGCTCGGGACTTGACGTCCATTAAATTTTGGCGACTCGGAAGATGGATAGTTAATTGAAAATGTTCGAATATGTCATTTTGACAACGAAATGACATTTCTTTTCTACCATTTCGTCTTTTGATAAAATTTAAAAGCGCCATCTCGTGTGTTATATCTAATTTATACGAATGAAGTTTTTACTCATTACCCATTCACAGTGCATTAAAATTTAAACAATCCTGTTCGGACTAGTCAGTCCTACTGTTAATTCCTTTGATTTAAAGTCGAAACAAACCAGGAATCAAACGTTTCAAGTCAATATCTTCATTTTATAACTTAAAAATTATTGTCAATGTCAAAATCGTCTATTTTTTTATCAACAAAAACCATGATCAATTATTTTAACAATTTAAAGCAACAACAAAGCCCATAAGACCAAAGAGCGTCCAATGCATCCCAAAAAAGTCACTGTTTGGTGTGGATTTTGAGCTGACGGCGTTATCGATCCATATTTCTTTGACAACGTCGTTGACCAGGCCATCACTGTCAACGGCCTGAATTGGATGATCCACTTCAATTCATCATTAGTCAATGTATATCTAAAGGTGTTTGGCCTGATGCCTTCAAAAAATCAGTAATTTGCCCAATTTACAAAAGAGGAGATAAAACCTCAGTGAACAACTACAGACCAATATCCCTGATCACACACTTATCGAAAATTTTTGAAAAATTATTGAAAAATAGGTTGACGTCATTTATAAACAAATATCAGCTAATTTCAGAGAAACAATTTGGCTTCAGACAAAATATTTCCACCGATGATGCTTTAATAACTTTAACTGAGAAGATACACAAGGCTTTAGAGAACTCCACACCCTCTCTCTGTCTATTCATTGATCTCTCAAAAGCCTTTGACACCGTGGATCATAAAAAACTTCTGAATACATTGGAAAATAACGGTATTAGGGGCAATTGCCTGAAACTGTTTGAAAGCTATTTACTCAATAGAGAACAGTCAGTAAGAATCGAAGGGATACAAAGCGAGCCGAGAAGAGTAGAATGTGGTGTGCCCCAAGGTACAATCTTAGGACCAACTTTATTCAATCTCTACATAAACGACCTATTCAAACTTAATACAGCTGGTACAATAATTGGATATGCAGATGATACAGCCATTTTTTATGAGGAAAAGACCTGGAATAACCTNATTATCTAGTAACTGTTACACTGGAACTACGCCATGAAAATGAGTACAATCTTGTTGATTCACAACGAGAATGCAAAAAACTGTGCATCAAAGAAACGTATAACACTCAGCAACCCATTAAATTAGATTTTTGTGTACTTTTATACATTTTCTGAAGTAAGTTTTTGTTTTCAGGTGTCAGAATCCTTGCGTCAATCAATGCGGTGTGAATGCTAACTGCAACGCTAGGCGCCATCTTGCGGTATGTACCTGTCCAGCAGGATATAATGGAGATGCTCTGATACAGTGCTACCAGAATAGAGGATCAGAAGCCCCCAGATCCAGAGCCCTAACCTACTGCCCTACTTGTTATTAGGTTATTTGAAAAGGTTTTAACAAGGATACTTAACAGTATGTTTAGAGATGAAATGTGATAAAAATCAAATGTCGAGTGTACAGGCTTTTTCTGAATGAGCATATTTTGATTATTCGATCTGGTTTTTAAGTCTCGATTAGTTTTAATATGCATATTCATCACGTGGACATGAGAGAATCATTAAAAATATCCTAATTCAAGTAAGTAAATTTCACTTTCCATACCTGCAGTTTTATTGCACGGCGATTCATGGAACAACTAAATCATTTTTATTAATGTTTATTGATGATTATTAGGTTTCTGACCTTCTACAATCGGAAAAATTAATGAATATAAATCAACAGAAAATTTGCTCTCATGAGTAATGAAGACTAACTGAAGAGTTCACACCGAAACGTTTGCTACGGTGGAGTTAGTTGTTTGCTACTTCTACTGTCTCTAGCACTAAATGGTGCTAGACGACTGCCGAATTAAGTTATGAACATGTCAAAAAATAGTTATTTATTATACAAGGGAAAAAAGTATTAGATTTTAGCTCGAGGTTTTGTTGTTTCCCGACTTTGACGGGAAAAACGACGATTTAATATTGAAAAAAACATATTATTACAATTTCCTTCAGTGAATTAATCGCTTCCAAAACTTCCATCTCATGCACGGGTCGGAAGAAAAATGACTTACACGGAGCAGGAAGTTTTTTAAAACCTAAAAGCTCCCCGTTTGCAACATACGGGAGAGAATTAATGATATTATCAGCAATGTTACTGAAATAGTTGTTCATCTCATCAGATGATAGTTCCATTGTAGGTTTTAAATCGTATTTATTTCCCTCGAAATTTATTATTTTCCAGCAAGCTTTAGATTCATTATTAGACGAAGAAATGTATTCATCATACGCCATTTTTTAGCGGATATCATTGAACCAGCGATTTGTTTACTTTTCGTTTACATTTTTTCAGAGGATAAAGTTTTAATGTGAGAGTATTATAATTGTTGACCAAGAAATTTGCTAAAATATTTGCCAATTGAAAACTGGCCTCTATGGTCAGATAAACAGTGTTCATTGACACCCGTGGTAAGCAATTCATCACTAATGTTTGTAATTATATTGTCAAAGCACTTAGAAGAAGCAGCCCTTACTCTGGTATCTTCTCTAATTGTGACTGATAAACCAAATGAAGCGACTTCTTTTCGTTCCCCCAACTGAAAATTGCCTGCATTAAAGTCTAGAAATGATTTACATTTCGAAGTTTTTAATTTTCATGACAACTTGTGCAATGGTAAGTAATTCGAACAAGTCAAGGCCCTAAAGCCTTGAAAGCCATAGATAAGATGAATGTTTTCGTATAAGTGTCAATACTTTATCCAAACTCTGATATTTTGGAAACATAGATCAAAATAAAATAACAACAATAATTAGCAATCTTTTTTTAGATTCATTCGAAGGTCTTTAAATATCATTCCAGATTTGTAATATGATTTGAAACGTTAAATATCGAGTTGTTTACGAGTATAGTTTCTCAATGTAAATTTCGTTCAATGATACATTGAGAAACTAGGATCTTAAGAGAAGGATGAACCATCCAATTATTACTATGAACTTTGAATAGTGTAGTTCACTTTCGAATGTATTTCAGTAGGCATAATGACAGTAAGTGAAAAATCACTAAAATGATGTATTTATTCAATAAAACCCTATTGATGAGTTATGAAACAGTTATCGTAATGAATGGATAATGAATAGTAGGACTTGAATTCAATCCTAACACCAAACCATTATTTTTAACTCCCCGATACGTGTTTCACGTGGAAGATTAAACTGGAGTTTAATCTTCCTCTTGAAGATTATCACTTGGTGACTGGAACGTTAAAAATAACACTTCGACACGTGTTTCAAGTGGAAAATTAAACTTGAATTTAACCTTCCTCTTGAAGATTATCACTTGGTGATTGGAACAGGTGTCGAGGTGTTAAAAATAACGGTTTGGTGTTGAGATTGAATCCCAACACCAAACCGTTATTTTTAACACTTCGACACGTGTTTCAATAATCGAGTGATAATCTTCAAGAGGTAGATTAAATTCCAGTTTAATATTCCACGTGAAACACGTGTCGAGGTGTTAAAAATAACGGTTAGGTGTTGGTATTTAATCTCAACATCACACAGTTATTTTCAACACCTCGACACGTATTACAATCACCAAGTGATAACCTTCAAGAGAAAGATTAAATTCAAGTTTAACACGTGTCGAGGTGTTAAAAATAAAGGTGTTGATGTTGAGATTAAATCCCAAGTTTTACAGACAAAACCATTTGAAAAAGTGTATGCCCTTGAGATTATTGCTGTGTGGATGGACATACCATACAGAGACTTTCCCCATATTTTTGTGTTTTCAATCTCATCGAGTTGATTTGGAGAAAATTGAATCAAAGCATCAAAGCGTAAAAATAATTTTCCAAAATTTGATAAGAAGGTAAAAGAAGTATCTAATATTACCGAAGAAGACTGGCAAAAAAGGATTAAAAAAGTAATTTTAGTTGAAAAAGACTATATGGAGATTGGACACTTCCTTATTAATGGTGCAAATAAATTCATTATTGATTTAAATGACGACAGTGATAGTGAAGCAGAGGATGTGGAAGAGGAATTATCAGATACATTTCCTGAGATTTTTCAAAATAAGAGTACTTTACTGTTGTCTCAAAATCAAATATTTGAAGGCTCCTCGTATATTACGTGTGTTTTAATGTATTTTCTTAGTGCATATTCAGTTTTAGGGGATGCACAAACTTTTATCAAGAATGACTTTTTGTCGAAAAACCCTTAATAAAAAGTTTCCCATACTTTGGGGATGATACTGTATAATCAGAAATAATGATTGAATAACAAAATTAGTTAGTTCCCTAACTATATTATTAAAGGGGAGATGTTGGAACGTACGATGCACTATATCGTTTACTTGAACTATATCATATTATGTGTTTTCATTACCAATAGTGAATTCCCAAAATAGTCGATTTTTCAACCAGTGTGTGGTCGTATATACGAAAGTAGTGGAAGGTCAAGTACCTAAATCTTTTTTTTCAACTAGTGGGAGCCCGAATAATGAATATTGACCCAATAAGTAATCATCTCCAGCTATCATTGCGCTCAACCCTTATAATAATAATTTTTATTCAGATTCAAATCACAAAAAGAAATAATTAAAGTAATACATACAGTTGAATAAACATTATAGAAACCACAGAAGCATCAGATGTTGCTTGTATGTGGTGAAAGGGAGATCCAGATGANTAAAAAATAATTTGTGCTAAATATGGTCAAAAACATAGCCCTAGTTGAACTTAAGTACATTAGTACCCTCAATTCATGAAAAGTTAATATTTTGATGATAGTTTGGACAAACTCGAAATATTCAAATAATACCAAGAAATCGACTCTATAGCATACAGGGCGTGCTAAAATTAGTTCTTTAAGTTTCCTAAATTTGAATAGAATGGTTCTCAATTTATTGACGGTATATTTAATATGGAGGTCCCATTTCAAATTGGTGTCTAGAATTATTTTTTAGGAAAGATGTGGGAAGGAGTATCAGTTTTTATTGTTGATTGGTCGAACAGGGGTGCTCCAGCTGCATTACAACAGAATGGTAGGTAATGCGTTTTGTCAATATTCACCTTCAGTAGTTTCTTATCCAGCCAATATTTCATGTGGGAGAATTCTGATTCAACTTTTATTTCCAAGGAATTTCAATTATCTGCTTTGTAAAAGATAGCGGTGTCATCTGCGAATCCGACTATGTTTCCGTTGCCTAATGCGAAAATTCCGTTAATATATATATTGAATAGTATCGGTCCCAGCACGGAACCTTGAGGTACTCCACAGTCGATCACCTTATCACTGCTCAATATATCATCGACTCTTACTGCTTGGCTCCTTCCTGTTAAATAACTTTCAAATTTCAATGAGTTACCCCGTATTCCGATATCTTCTAAAGACTGAAGAAGTAGATGGTGAAGTAGATGTTTGTAAACATTGATCATGACGTAGTATTTCTTCGAAAGCGTAGAAATGCCTTTCGCTAACAATTCTCGATAATCTTATTTGTCCAAGAAAAGCCTTCGTCGAGACATATTTACTAAATAGGAAGTCGTAATTCCCAAGATCACTTCGTCTAATAACACGCTGATAATCACTGACCGTAGTGCAAGAAGTTAATCAATATTTGTAAACAAATATAAAAATTGAATTTCTTATCGAGCCCGAAAAAAATTCGATCTATAAATGAAGATGGAGCAGAAGACCACGTGCATACATCTCTGTGAATCGGGTCGGCAAACACTCTTAATCCAAGTTCATACTTATCGCGAAAACTTTGGTGACGATGACAGTGATGGTGTATCTTAAAAATAGTGCTGTGAAACTGAAAAAGTACAATTTTCGTGTTTTTCTCTGATTTTCTCTTCCGTAAGAATACCTTCAGACAGAATTTGAATAAATCTTCGTGAATTTATTTTTTCTACATAAAAAATCAGCAACTTCGTTGAACAACTGTGAATGATATTATATTCTTCAATAGCCATGAGAGGTAAGATATTCATGCATTCACAACTTTATTCGAAATATGCTTTGTGTGGTTCAAAAAATATAAAACTAGCAGTGAATATAAAAAAAATCGCAGGAGGCCAAATCTGGTGAATACGGTGGCTGAGGCATGATTACGAACAAGCAATGACGAGTGAGTAGGTGCATTATAATAATAGTAATAATAATAATACGGCACTCTTACGGTATTGACGAGACACCGGTGTTGCCCTACGCTCCGGGGGATATTGAATCCGTTGTGGGGAACGAGAAGTGCCGAATTGGCCGATGTAAGTCCTGTCACAATCGTGGCATAGTACTTCATACACTTGTGACTCCAGTGGTATCTGATCCTTGGGATTACGGAGCATGGACCTTATTGTCCGTTCTGGTACGAATGAAGTTAATATGTTGTACTTTTTCCTGAGTAGTTCATTTGTTTCGATGGTGTTCAATTCTTGTTGTCTGTGATCGTTATCTGCCAGCCTCCTTGAACGTGTAATCAGTGTTTTTGCCACCGCATGAATTTGTTACAAATTCAGGGAACGCGCTGGTTGTAAAAATTATCTAGTACCTTTCTAGAATTGACAAGCTGCGCTTCAGTAGTTGTTTAGTTTTCTCGTTTAAGCAATATTCAAGAAAAAGTAATGAATGATTCTGAATTTTTTTATCGAATATTTTATCATTACTGGATTGTAAATCTGGCCTGAATGTTTTTATTTTTTTGAAGGTGATTAATAACTTCATGTCAGACTAAATCTGTTAGTATTATAAATATCTATAAGGTGTCCCTTCCCCTTTCATCATAATTGAATTGTTATATTTAATTTCTTCCTTTTATTTAAATCTCTATACATAAACCTTCTCTTTGTAGTTGGAGCATTATGAATACCAAAGGGTGAACAAAAGAACTGAAAACCGTTTTTCTGTATACTTTATTGATATGGGTGCCTGAATCTCACAAGTTGAAAGGGTTTTTCATAAAATCAAAAGGATACCAACTTGAAAATTTAATTTTTCGAAACTTTTTAAAATCTGCTGACGATTTTAGTTCTTCTACAAACTTGAAAAACTTCAAAGTGTTAGATGTTCATCTCGTTATTCAATTGTTTTTCAATGTAAATACTGCCAGTAATTTTGAGAGTATTTGTCACTGTTCATTTTTAATTACTAAAAAATTGAAAAATGTGCAATTCGAATTTATATATGTAATTCATTTCTTCAAACACTCGAATGTAGGTTATGAAATTATGTTATCAGCCGTATACTGATAAAGAAATTCATCAACTGAAATCATGATGTCCAAAACTATTCCAAGGTCATTAGTATTATTCCATTTCCATTAGTATTCCTCGTGGAACATATGGTGAAGTAAAATGAATTTTTTTTCCAGATCTGATAAGGAATTACAAAATGATCATCAAAGGAAAGAATCAGGATTCAGATTCTGATAACGAGCCATTGATGAGCTCTACTTCTTCCCAAGGATATGGGTAAGTGCACATTTTATTGAAAACGATAACACTAAACGACTTTATTACTTTTTGAAAGACCTTTCCCTTGATGAAATTCATTATTTTCTTACAGTACTAGTGTTAGTAAAGGAGAACCGAGAATGTTCAAACAAGAAAATGACAGTACCGAGAGTGATGATGACCCTCCAATAAAAGCAAAACCCTTCATCATACAAAAAATCAAAAGGTAGGTAATGGGACCTATTTCGTACACTGCCTAACGTATTGCTTCTTTTTTTTTTCAGTGAAATAACGCCACATAATTTCTCTAAGGAAGAAAAAGTTTTTGACAGAAACCATGATAGCATGTATGATTTGCTTCAGCAATACTCAAATTACGATGAACTTCCCTCTGAAAGGACAAGTTTGGTAAGATATTTTTCAGATACGAATATTTTCTATGGAATCACATACATTTTTATATTCGTTGTTGGACTGTTCAAACACTTCTAGCACGGTTCTCTAACTTTCACGTTACATTCTTTTGCAATGTATCCATAACAGCATAGAGCACAATATAAATTTCATTCTTGAATTAACTACACCGAAAAGAGTCAAGAGGGTGAGATCAGGAGACCGAGGAGGCCATCCATTTATCCATTCCCCTACAGTTATGAGCAGGCGCTCTATCCTGCTGAAAATACAGCAGGATGCCTACTCAGGCTGTCTCCCCAAAAATTTGTTCGGAATAATAGTCAAGAACCCCACATACCTGAACTATCCAAGAAGCCATGAAGGAAAAAAAAACACCCATAACGCTTGATCCAATTATTCCGCACCAAACTGGAACGTATCTGGAGACCTCTCGGGCCTAATGATAATTCTATTATGATTGGGATCTGGGTTCCAACCTTATGCCTCACAGTGAAAGACAGATAACGGATCTCGTCAGTGGTGGATGTCGAAGCTTTGCAACTGAACGCCTTGGGGAGCCTCATTTATCTTTGATATCCGATAATTAAATTATCTGTCGACCTCAGAGGTAGCGTCTTTGTAAGGAAAGATGTCGTCAACCTTACTTACTCAGGCTTGTCTTTTAAGAAATTTTCAGTCCAGAAATGCATTTGTGGTTCAGCCAAGTACCACTGATGAGACGTATGACAGCACGAAACAGTGCTGTCTGGTGTTGGATCATAAATGCGTTGTTTGAGCTGTGGTTTTTAAAATCATAGAGGTATAGGATTTGATTTTCAAAACAACCCAAAATGTTTGAAAAAATTTATGAAATCTTTTTTGGAATCGATAGAACGATCAATATAATTTAATGTTTATAGATGATTTCATGCTCCGCTTTAGATGGCCCATGCGCAAGGTCCAATTTTGGCACACTCTCTCTAATATATCGACCAGTATTTCACGTATAAATGCTTCAATATTGGCTTTCAGAGCGTCAGTCGTTGCTGGTTGATCCCTGTAGACATGAGCCTCAACATGACCCCACCAGAAATAATCCAAAGGCGTTAAATCACACGATCTAGGCGGCCAATTGACGGGTCCCAAACGTGAGATAAACTGTTCACCGAAGGCGGCTCTTAATTGGGCCATTGTTTCGCGTGATGTGTGGCATGTGGCACCGTCTTGTTGAAACTCCATGTCAGGCATGTCCAATTCCTCCATTTTGGGCAATGAAAAGTCGTCAATCATCACACGGTAGCGCTTGCCAAACACAGTAACGTTCCGGCCATTGTCGTCTTTGAAGAAGTATGGCCCATAATCCACACCAAACATCGGGAGCTCTTGCAATGCTTGTGGCTGGTCTTAACTCCACATGCGGCAATTTTGCTTATTGACGCATCCATTCAACCAGAAATGAGCCTCGTCACTGAACACAATTTTTCGATAAAAATGTGGATCTTCCTGCAACTTTGCAAGCGCCCATTCACCAAATGTTAGACGTGGGAGGTCGTGTGGCTTCAATTCTTGCACCAGCTGTATCTTACAAGGTTTTCCACGTAGTGCGTACGGCAGCGAATCGACATTTCACGGTCATCACGAACACTGGCGGATACAGCCGCAATATTTTTTTCGCTCCTCACTCTATGTATGCGTGTTGGTGGTTTAATGTCCAATACTGTAAACTTGGTTAGAAATTTAGTCACAAGCTTCCGAGTAGCTCCCTCAGTAGGCCGACGAAACTGCCCATAAATTGGAAGAAGTGCAGGATGCACTTTCTTCACCGGGCATGAATTTTGATAATAAAATTCAATAATTTGCAAGCGTTGTTCATTCATAAAAACTGAACAAGTTTGACAATGACACAAAACACGATTCACGCGTGATCTGTCAAAAACAGTGTTGACAAAAAAATACCAGCAAAAAATTACTCATTATCTGCTTTTCCAAAAAGTAGACTTAGCGAAAGTCTGACTTATTTTATTTGATTCATACTTTATTGGTGTGAAAACAAATACAATTTTTCTGTAAAAGTTTAGATGGAGTTATCCTATTGTGATTTCATTGAATTCCAGATAGATTTTTTTCTGTGAACTTGTATTCAGTTAAAATATGGGAATATTGAAGCAGAACCTCGTGATCGATAAAGCTGCATGTATTTCTTATATTGTTATATTGTTATAATTTGAGCAACTTACAGTTAATTCTTATGGTTGTCACTGATTTTGAAATCCACGACTGTCTATAAATTGAAATGTGCATAAGAGTAACAACGCTTTTCATTGTTGTGTTAAAAGTGTTCTTCTCATTCAGAGATCAATTGTTTAACGAAACATGTCGCGAGTGGAAATGGACGACCTTAAAGTCAGTAAGGTAGATGTAGTTTCGTTTTTCTTCTTTCAACTTTTTTCGAAGTTTTCTGTTCATATCAGTTACTCATTCATTTTAGGTTAGTAATATCATTTTACGTAGAAAACTCCTGATCTAAACATAACAGTTGAGCTGAAAAGTTAGTGAGTTAACATAGAAATAATATTTTATTTATTTTATTGTGTTATTCAAAATACTTGTCTTCTCGAGCGATTACAGCGGTCAATACATACATCATACATGTCTGAGAACATAAAAAAGTCGCTGGGGTCCAGATCTGGAAAATACGGTGGATGCGGAAGCAATTCGAAGCCCAATTCATTCAATTTGGCCATCGTATCCATTGATTTGTGACACGGTTTATTGTTTTGATGAAACAGCAACTTATTTTTTTTCAAATGGAGCCATTTTTCCACGATTTCGTCCTTTGAACGCTCTAATAACTACTATGTTATAACCGCTGTTGATGATTTTTCCCTTTTCAAGATAATCCATGAATACAGTACCATGCGCATCTCAAAATACCGATACCATAACCTTGTCAGCCGAATGTTGCGTCTTTGCACGCTTTGGAGTCGGTTCACCACGTGCAGTCCACTCAGAAGATGCTGGTGATTCTGGTGAGAAATGATTGATGTTTTTGGTCGATTGAGAGCTCGTGCAGCACCCACTTTGAATAGAGCTTTCGCATACCAAAATATGCTACAGCCAAAGTGTTTTCTTCCTTGATAAAAAATAATTATGAATAATCAATTATCCGCTGACATTTACGAAATTCATATAATTCAATAATAGAAATCAGCATCCCTTTATGAACTCTCAAATCTGAATAGTTGAACCTAATTTTTTTTTCAGTTGACATCTACTTACAAGTATGGTATGGAAGATATTGTCAGTGTGGAACAAGCAGAGACACCAGAAAAACATACGAATATTTCTGTCATAACGATGTGAGTATTATCTTAGAGAGAATAAAATGATATATGATGGAATTAGTCGATTTGAGTTTTTCTCTGAATACAGTGCATTTCTTTAATGTCCCCCCCCTTTTATTTTTTGAACGCTTCAACTCAAAAAATTGCAATTTGAGGTAATGAAATTAATGCATGAATACTTTATTTCTAAGTAAAATTGACAGATGAAACTTTCAAGATGGCGACTGGGCGCCATTTGGGAAAAAAAATTCAATGGAAAAGGGGGTCTTGTGATACATCATTTTGAAGCTCCTGGCGAATACTTCACAACCCTAAAATATGAAGTCAATACNTTTAATTACTTGTTGATTTATTTCATTGTAGAAACTGAATTCTGAACCCAAAACATGAAGAGTTAACAAATAATTTGTCAAAAAATGTATGGAAACCGTATCTAAAAATTCCTATAATTTCACATAACTTGAACATAATATCTCTAGTACAAATGATTTTCTCAGTCATAAAACGCATTCATTTATATTTCATGAAATATTATAATAGTTGTGCTTACAACAAAACTTTCACTTGTCAGTATTGGAAACTTCAGAAGGTGGTTTATGTCTTCAAAAGTTATACATTTAATAATTATTCATTTTATTACTTACCACACAACTTGAAATTTTAGTACTTCTATTTCAGTAATATTTTCATTTAAATCAACTTCTTAGAAAACTTTCCTACTACCTTGTTTTCACTTCGGCATAACTTACATAACCGGATCGAATAAACCACTAAAATATTACCATTCCATTATAAACAATATAGGGAAGAATTTCTTCCGATGTTGGCACTACTCAAACAGGTAACGCCTGATCGAAATAACTGGATGTAAAACAGGTTATGTTTATTGTTTTGGGGTTTTTGTGTTATCTAACGGTGAATTTGTTAGAGTAATGTGTTTTAGTGCGTTCATTATGGATATGAGAAACTGATGAAACACTAAACTCAAACTTTTAAAAACAAGTAAAAATCCATCTGTCAGAACTTGAATAGCTGTTTAAAATACAAATATTAAACTGTCGTCTTCACCTCTCGCGCTCCAACTCCCACTAGCGGGCTCGCCACAGAAAAGCTTATACCAGAAGTGTCACTCTTGTCGGAACCTTTGATTTTTTTATAGACAGAACACAAGCACTACAGGAAAATCCTCAGGGCGCTTCAAGAGCGGTGCCTGTGCGAAAGTAGCGAGTCACATTGGATTTCAATCGCTAAAAATTGAATCCACTTGGAAAAACATTCCACGTTTTTACTCACTCCTTGTGTGCTTGGTTCAAATTCTGAAATCGATTTGAAAATAAATTAAAAAGGAGCTAAAGGGACTTGCAACTTCAAACATAGGTCAGAACTGGATAAAATGCAATATTTTTTGCATACTGTATGGTCTTTATAAGCTTTCTACTGTGGTCCCGCTCTCATGAAGTCATGATAGGTAAACATCGTAATCCTTCTGCTAAGATATATGCCGTACTTTCCAATTTATTACAAACATTCGACTCGATTCTCAAACACGTCGTTGACTGAAATACATTCATTTGTGTTTCCCTTCTTTTTAACGAAATATCTGGAAGAAATCTGACCAATTCTTGTACATTGAAAAATAGAGTATTTGTCAATAACACTAATATCGACGAATTTTGTTTGACTTTTTTCAAGGTATACCAGGAGCAAATTTTGATGTAGCCGACCTCTGTAGGCTTTTAATAGGACAATGGGCTGTAATCGTATCAAAAATATTTTCTTTAGTGGTGTTGATAGGCGGCGATTTGGTTTATTGGATTCTTATGTCCAATTTCATGTATAATTTAGTATATTTCTTGCACGGTAAGCTTTTCATTATAACGTATTTGATTGCGATCTCAACATTGTTATTTTCTTTAGGGTCTCTTGCTGGACTAGGGGACGAACAAAATGAAGAAAACGTTTTATGCTACAAAAATGTTCTCTTGAGTTTGAATAGTTCTGTATACACACAAGATGTACCTCTCCAAGATACTTTAATTTTCGACAAAATCTGGAGCCTGTACAGAACAGTACCAGTTTTTTTGGCAGTCCTAATATTTCCGCTCCTCAATTTTAAAAGTCCAACATTCTTCACGAAATTCAATAGTCTTGGTAAGTTGCAACACTCATATAGATGGATAATAAAAACACTGACATATAAAATAAATTAATTTAATGTAAGTAGGAACTCTTACCTTTTATTTTGGTACAGGAATTAAAATTTCCTTCAAAAAACTCCTAATTGCGATGAAGTTATGAAATTGAGGCTATGTAAATATCACTATGTCATAAAGGTACCGGATATTGGTCAATGAAATGCAAAATGTCTATTATTCATCCATTGTTTTGCCTTTATAAAGTAGGCCTCTTCCGGAGTCATACACTACCAACGAACAACCCAATCATCAAAACATGTCATTTGTCGACTGAAAATGGGTGCCTCGAGGTGGTAATTTAGTTTTTAACCAGAAATTCGTTTACAATTGTAACCTGAGATGGTGCTCATCAAATCTGGTCTTTTTCAACAAATTTGCTCTCTCAAACGACTCATAACGCTCAGATAATATTCCTTCTGGCCTTCTGGCAAAAATTCCGAGTGAGTGCACAACACTGCGATAATCGGAAAAAACTGTTGTTGCAAGAAATTCAGGTCTTTTGGTAACAGTCGACCGGCAATGCATTTCATGCCTAACAATTCATTTAAAATGGTATGAACTGATTCGTGAGGCGTAGAAATTTCAAAGGCTGTCTCTCTCAGATTTATGCGACGATTTTTCAGTCACCATCTCCTTTATTTTAGTGAAGTAAATTTTAAAGATGTTGATGGTCGACCGGAGAGAGGCTAATCTTCCACCACATTTCGACCGTTTTTAAATGCACTGTGCTACGTACCGTTCAGCGCTTTGGCACACGAAATTTCTTCTGCAATGCAATTCTTTGCTGGATATTTTCATCCATTGTAAAAATCGCTAAACACGTTTGAAGTTACTGTGCTAAGTACTGTAAACAAAGTGAATGACGGTTGGCGATGTGGCGCTCAAACTCCGCATTACTATGAAAGACACTTGCGCCAACTTAGCAACAAAAATGATTTCAACAATCACCTCACTAGGGCTTTTTGAATGATCGATTCAACGGTACTTTCCTGACAGATTGTATGTATCTGACTAGAGAGATAAAAACTTCAGATCTCAAAATCACTATTTTGGTTATCCACCCACTTTATATTTCCTATTTCAAACTAAATAATAGTGCATCTTTCTTACGAAATTCTAGAACAGGAATGAATGAACTGAATAAATGTAGCTATAGTATATGTTCAGTTGAATAATAGTTAATTCAGGTGGGACTAGATCGAAATAACAGCAGTAATGATTTCATATTTGAAAACTGCAAATATGAAATCAACTTAAAAATAATAACACCAGACCTCAAAAAACTTATTCAATTTCAAAAGAATAATTTTCCTTCTGAGTAATGATCTTTCTGAGCGCCTAACATTCATAATCATTTATATGAATGAGAAATGGTTAGAACTTAATTATATAACCATAGAATACAACCATAGAATTTCATAAAAAAATATTTTTCAAAAACAAAAGTTGATCTACTAGACAGCATTTTCCTCAACAATTGAAAATAAAAATTCATTCTTCCACTTCTTGTATATCCCTTAAAGTTTAAAGACCTTTGTTAAAAGACATCAAACCTGCATTTCACTTAATTTTCAGGATACTCATTTTGATATTTTTATTTAGGAACAATATCCGTTGCATACCTATTGATTTTCGTACTGGTCAAATCGATTATTTGGGGAATACACATACCAAACTGGCCAACCGAATTTGACATAAAACCGACGTTCTGTATACTCAGTGGAATGCTGTCAATGAGCTACTTCATACATAGCATAGTCATTTCGATTATGAGGCACAACAAACACCAAGAGAATAATGTATGTATGTTAGCACTTTTTAATCGTGAAATTAGATTAAAAAAAACCTATTTTTCAGGGTAGAGACCTCACCATTGCCTTCTTCCTGGTGTTTTTCACATATGTTTTCATAGGGGGGGTTTTTTTCTCTACCTTCCCCCTCGCCAAAAATTGTATCGAAGATGTAAGTAAACGATAGTTTCTAATCAATGAAAAATGTTATTTGAAAAATCAATGTTGTTCATCCAAATGAATACAATTCAATATTTTCACAGAAATATTGGAATGATTTCAACAAATCGCCATTAATTTCACTTGCTAGATTATGTTATTCATTATAGTAGTTTCTTCGTAATAAATTAGAACTCAATTCTTACTTTTACATTATATTCATTTGCTTACATTACATGTTACCATCTAACACAACCATTACGACGGAGAACAAAGAAGGAAGAGAAGGTTTTTTCTATAGAATCATATTCCTTAACTTCTTATTATTCTTTTTCTTTTTTCTGCATCGCTAAGTCCGGCCGTACACGGACCACATATTTGCAGTTGAGGTAACCACAACATTGTAGCACGTTGACTGCACTTCGCGGTTGATTCAACCACATTTTTGTGTTCATATAAACCGCACTTGCAGTTGAGGCAACTGACATCTATATTTTGTGGTGTCAGAGTTTAGTGCCAGTTTCAATATGGATTCCGAAGAAGAAGCACTACTACTTCTTATTTTGAGAAGGAGAAGACGTAGGAAAGTACGGTCGTTTTGGGTACATCCACTTCTGGTTGTGCGAGAAAAAGTTTGTACAGTGGATGCCGCGATGTCATCTCGGCGGAGATCAGCAGCAAGTTGACTGCAGATGCCCGTTTCGATTTTTGTGAACGCCCGTGTACGTGTAGTACAGTATTTCTTATTAGCGGCTTGAGTTCGCTGGAACGCGACTGCAATTGTGCAATTGCAATTGTGTTTATAATAGAATACTAGAAAATCATTATAACCAAGCAATTTATTTCAACATGTTACTTGCTAAAAAACTACAAAAATTGGTACTAAAAGTGGCTGTAGTCGATTACAGCTGTATAATGAACATACAGAATGAGATATTGAAAACGTACAGCAGGGCATACGTGTCCCAAAAGTACCCGACCCAACAAACACAAAAATTTTGGAAAAAATGTATTTATTTGTCAACATAATCTCCTTGCAACTTCTATACTCTTTTCTCCTCCATGTTCAATGAGTTCGATACCGTTTTTATAATGAGAACTGTCTTGCTCTTCGAAATAGCCATTAACTGCCGACATCAGTTCTTCTTCGTTGGAAAATCTTTAACCACTGAGACATTTTTCAAGTTTACGGAGTGGCTAAATTTGGCGAGTAGAGTGCATGACGTATCAAATCAAACTTTAATTCGTTTTTTGCAACTAATAATGTTGATAGTGATACATCATTGAAAAACTATTCTATTTCCTAACCAATGCTGCTTTGCTTTTGGAATGGAATCGAATCACTTATTCGAAAGATATGAAGCTTTGAAATGCAAATAATACATCTGCCAAAAAAATGCAGAAATCAAGGGGATGTTACTTGAAAACTAACTGTGTCAATCAAGTTATTGTTGGACATTTCGACCGACATCCTCTATGGGCTATGGGCTATCTCGCGGACACTAGCGATGTATTACTTCACAACATAAATCAATAGTTCATCCTTACAAGTTTTCCAATACGTCAGGTGAAAAGCAATACACTTCGTTTTCTATGTATCTTCACACAAGAGCTAAAAAACTCAAGTCGGGTGACCGAGGCCACTTAATTGCACCTCTACCTCCTATCCAGCGATCGGGAAACCTCTTACTCAGATAATCGCGCATATATTTCGCCAGTAATGTGCACCGTCGTCTTCTTGGAATGTAATTTCCATCCCAATGTATGAAGGATAATTCTCTATGATATCAGCGAGAACTGGGTCGATAGCATTTTCTAAGTTCTTTGCAGTACGTTTCGACGGCAGGTCCGATTAACGGCTCCCTGGAAGGTTATAGATACAATAAGCAGAATAAAATACTAATATAATAATTCTATTCTTCACATTCAGATACTTATCCTGCTATATTTATAAACGAAACTTACAGAAACGTATCCAAAAAAGTCTCTCGATATTCTTGTAACTAAAATATTTTTTGTTCTAGAACCTGCTCAACAATTTTCCCAAGTGGGACATGATGTCCATCATCGCAAGAGTATTATTATTTTTCCAGTTGTTTACAGTATTTCCGCTCATCACTTTCATGCTGAGAGCGGACATCTTAAGTTGTATTGACATGGTTTTCAAAAACAAAGATTTCGGAAAATTTTCTTACCTGAAGACAATCATCATCAACTGCGTTATAGTGTTTACCTGTATCATGTTTGCCTGCTTCTTGCCTAGGATAGGAACCCTAATAAGGTAAGATTTAATAAAGAACGGAAAATTTCATGGCCAAAGCTTGGAATTCATTAATAATCAAGAATACTATACAGACAATAATTGAAACTCAAATCCTAGTCCCTAGACTGATATTGTCAAATTTGACATATAAACAATTGGTTCTTCATACGTCCTTATCGCAGTGATATTAAATTAAAGTTAGTTACCTAATGTTTCGTTTATTATTCCCATTCTTCGATATCTAAACATATCGCATCTTCATGGAACCGTAAGATGCTGATGTTAGTCAGAACATTTTCTAAATTTTGAATACACAAGTATAACCTCGCATAAAAAGATAATACTAGCACTTTAAAAACATTGACATTTAGAGGAAAGAGATCGGAATATTATATTTGTAGACTACTAACTAAACAGAACATCAACATAGCATACAACACACATCTTAGGTAGACACAAAAGAAGTTTGGAACCTATGCATGCTGCCATCTGTTGGAGAGCATCGTACTACAGCTTGTCAAATTCAAAACTAGGAAGAGACTTGAGAATTCTATTTCTCTCTCACACACAGTCTCCTACGAACGCGCATCTAGAGGAGGTCCTAAGCCGAGACTTTGAGGTTTGAGGTCGCTTCGTAGATTTGACAAGCTGTACCTTTGTAGGTTGGTTTATCTACGAAGGTACTTTTTGTACTACAGTCTATATACAAGGGTACAACATACAGAAAATAAAGGACAAACATTGAACCTGTCGGCCTTGGAAATCAATGAACGTCAACAATCAAATTTCCTATTAAAGGACCAACAAGCTCTCTATGAGACATTTTTCAAAATATTTTCGTAACGAGTAAAAAATGTTCGAATTTTTGAATATTTGGAGAATAATTGCACAACTTTCTAACTTAAATTATTCATCTCCTTCTCTTGACGTTTACAATAGTCGAACTAGACTTGCTCTGAGTAGTGTTTTGTCAATATTTCATTTGATTTGTTCAACGATATTCATAGTCCTAAATATTTGATTTTCTATTTCAGATTCACAGGAGCTTTGAGCGGCATGGTTTATATATTTCTAATGCCCGGTTTATTGAATATCGCATCTCTCAAAAAAGAAGGAGCGTTGACAACGATGAAATTAGTGCTGAATGTAGCTTTAATAGGCTTAGGAGTCTTAAATCTTTCTTCGCAATTTTTCATGTCTGAATGAAGTTTTTGTGAAAATATCACTAATTTACGAAATGTCCATTTTTGTAATTTCGAATCATTTCATAGATTTTCAATATTTTTTGTCTATATTTTGTGATACTATTATTTATGAGTGAATAAAAATATGTTATAATATTCGATTTTGAGTACTCTCTTATTCTGCCGCAGTTGCAGTTGAAACGTTTGAAATTGTAACCAAAGAAGACCACGGTAAAACCCGGAAACCAACCTTAAAATATCATTTTCGAAAAAAATCAAACTGAAGAATTTGTCTGATTGAAAGTGACTGCTTTGAGTTTTTGCCAAGATACTGACAATTGGCAATACTTTGGTTCTTAATCAATGCCAAAGAAGAAAAAGTACTATGTAGGTATTACACTAATGCATTGAAGAATTTAAAAAAATATTTGAAGACTACACTGAAGTTAATTGCAAAGGCATATTATAAGAATATGTACCGCAATAGCGGATAAATATCCCCAAAAGCATCGATGTAACTTTTGAAAGTGTCAAACGAGACTATAATCAGAGTGCTGAAATAATTAAACCACATGTTCAAACAAAAAAGTCGTTTTTAAACTAAACTAAAAGATGAATCTTTTGTCAAGAACACACTTGCCTGCTTTCACCATTCGTACTAATATAGGCTGTTCACGTTAGGAAGAGAATGACGTCATTTTTGGTAATTTTGTAAATCCAACATAACAACGTTAAAATGCGTTCAACAGCATTGAAACTAGTAACATTTTATTTTATAAGTTGCTCAACTGATCGTAAAATTTCCGACGTTGCCGAATCAAAAAAACTCGAAAACTGTCATAACTTTTATGCTTCTCACCAACAGCTGAAACCTTAAACATATGTTTCGAGACGAAATGTTCCAACATGTACCGCGAAATTTGAACATTCACCTAATTTTAGAACATCCCGCGTATACAAATCCCACATAGTCTTACCTAGCAGTTCTGCAGAGCAAAAATAACAATTCTTAGTGGGGTTACAAAATTAGCTCAATAGCCCTTCGAGAATGTTCCGAATTGTGCATGAATAAGACTCAATATTTTCTGGAATGAAACTCAATATGTACCTAATCAAAAATGTATTTCAGATGGTGTGGTTTTAAAGTAAAGATGTAAATTATAACATAAGGGTGTGAAATATGGATATTAAAAAATGTTTTGTGAAAAAAGATAATGCATAATCAGTATTATTGTAAATAGTCCAGAGCTTGCCTGCCAAAATTGTCTATAGAGGCTTCACTGGCCCCATTCTGTACCAAAAACTCATAAATTACTTTTCGGCCTTTTCTCGCAGCACAGTGCAATGGAGTAAGACCTAGCTTATTGACCTCATTCACATCAAGCTTCAATACATCTAATATGTATTGGATAACTTCCAAACTTCCTTCACAAGCCGCCAAATGGAATAAACCATAATCGCAGTGGTTTTTGGCACAAATATCAGCTCCACAACTTATAAGGATTCTAAATATATCAATATTATTTCCTAACAAAGCTTCATGTAGAGGAGTATTGCCACAATTGTCCTTTTCATTTACGTCACAATCCAAATCCAACAGAACTTCAACAATTTTCAATTTGCCATGCAGGGCAGCTATATGGAGAGCTGTTCGTCCATTACTGGTTTTTGCTCTCACTTCCAAACCGTATTCGATCAGTAATTTGAAAATTGTTTCATCCCCTTCACGTGCTATTAGGTGGGCGCAAGTCCATCCATCCTTATTCTTATAATTCACAATACTTTTATTTTCCAAGAGTAAATGAACAGTTTGCCAACTATTCTGAGGGTTGAGTTTGGTACAAGCCAACATGAGAGGAGTCCAGTCAGCTCGTTTCAGAGCATTAACGTTAGCCCCATATTCTATGAGGATTTTGCAACTTTCAAACTGGGAGAATTGAGCAGCTTCGTGCAACGGAGTCTTGTCATCTTTGTTCTTACAATCTATCGCTGTAGGCGTGAATCTTGATATAAGGTAATGAATTATACTGATGTGCCCTAATCTGGCAGCACAATGAAGGACTGTATCGCCAGTTTTCTCATAAAAAATTTCACTCCAATGGAACTTAGTGTACTTAGTTAGGATGAATTCAATGCATGTTAGATCTCCTTTTTGAGCTGCTCTCAATAGTTTTGTTATTTCTTCTTTGCTTGGTTTCAATTCTCTATTCATTATTTTGGTGATTCGTCATTTACAGGTCATCTTTCTGTATATGCTCTGAAATTAAAAATAACTTCATTGGATATAACAATCTGTAAAAACTAAACTTTAAACATCTGGAACCGAAAATTTCTTTTCGAATTTTTACTTGTTTATTATTACCACCAGAACTATTCCCTCCCTGAAAAACTTCACAAGTGGTTTGTGAAAAACTTGAAGCGTAACGTTGCCAGTTCTCCGGTTCTCCTTTCATACTCTCAAATTTCTTCCAGAAAAAATTACCGTTTCCTCTCTCTCTCTCTCTCTCTCTCTATTTTGGATGGTCATTGCTTCCTATCTTTAGGCGCATGTGACCAATGCTTCTCCTGTTACGTAACTATTACCGTTTCCTATTTTCTATACTCTTTCTCACGGTGTTACACGGAGTCATGGATAGGAGTGGAGGATATAAAATTAAAATTTAGTTACGTTTTCACAGATTCGATAGTAATAGTACAGGAGACAACCCCTTTCAAAATATGTGTTTGTACTCAAAATAGCACCGTAGACGAAATATTTTGAGAAATTCACTTTTTATTAAAAATCTATTACTTTTCAAAGCCTGAAACTAGAAAAATAGACAACATTTTATGATTTGATGTTGAGTTTACTTGCCGTTCAATTTAATGTCAAATATAATGTCTATTGTTACAAATACCCAACAATATATCAATATGCCCTCGGCACTGCACTTCATTGTTCTCATCGTTCTGTGAAACAGAAAACCGTGTTCTGTGAAACAGAAAACCGTGTCCTGTGAAACAGAAAACCGTGTTCTGTGAAACAGAAAACCGTGTCCTGTGAAACAGAAAACCGTGTTCTGTGAAACAGAAAACCGTGTCCTGTGAAACAGAAAACCGTGTTCTGTGAAACAGAAAACCGTGTCCTGTGAAACAGAAAACCGTGTTTTTTGACCCTTGACCATTAACAATGTTTCACTCTATTATTTTAACTAACGGTAATAGATTATGATTTTATTGATTTTCCGCAACAATGTAATAGTCACAACCCAAAACTAATGGTTCTATTACAATGGTAAAATATATGCAACACTCCTTCTTGTCAATGTAAATTACATACAAGAACGCTTTGAACCCTCAACTTCACATATTCACCTCAAAGATGTAGCCAAGATATTAGTGAAGTTGTGTTAAGTCCAATGGTTTGTACACAAACTCCTACCACTGTACAAAGATAGATGTTATCAGTGTTCCAAAAACTATATTTCAAAACGAATGGCACGGGGCATTTAGAATTTTTTTCAATTTGACATTTCGAAAGTACTTTTTCTTTCGTGTAATCCAATGTTCATATGAAAATAGTCAAGTCTAAGCCAAAAATTAGGTTACGAATTTTCCAAATTAATTACTGAATCATCCATTTTTAGTACGAAAACAAAATATCGAGTGTCAACACTGTGACAAATTCTGTATTGACAACTGACATTCGCAATATTTTATATTTGACATCTATGAACAACAATATCGTTGTGACTCTTATCGAGATATATTCTAAAATTATTGGCTTTGCGGCCTGAAATAATTGAGAGAAAATACCATAACTCGCCGATATATTTAACAGGCGAAGTTTTATTTGTGAATCGATTTTGATATTAAAAATTTTCAATGTTTGGAAACTTGAACAAACCAGCATTTGGAACTGCGTCTCCCAGTACTTCCTTTGGTAAGTTTCAATCATTTCAATATAGATACATGACTTTAAAAAAAACTCATTTTTCTAGATTAACTCATAATTATTTCATGAAAAACTTCAGTAATAGTGGAATTTTAATGTTGTACAAAACAATGTATTAATTGAAATAATGGATGGAATGTATTTGTAATCGAGTTCTTCATTCAGATATTTTTGGTACATTGGTACATTTTCACTCAACAACATATGAACAGTATTTGCAAATAGAAAATCTCCTGTATTTATCATTCTTATCAGTTCAAAATGACGTATAAAGTACTAGGTAATTGAGAGGCCAAACTTGGGTTTACTTTTCAGGCCCTCCCATGAAAATAGTTACCAATTTTGTAAAATAGATAGAATAGAATACTTTACAGACAAGGTAGTAAAGGCATTTTTACTATGAGAGTCCCCATCTTTCCATGATATTTGTTTGAACAATCTTCTACCCTCTGCTAGTTTGCACACACCAGTAAAGACTAGTGAATGTGGATTTAATGCATCTGTTTCAAAGCACAAGTCCTAGGCACTTAGATCAGTGATTTTCAGTGGTAACATTGTTTCACAAGCTGTAAATTTTTAGCAATAACAAATGGAAAACATTAATTATTATGATTCATAGGTCAAGTAAGCTTCTTCTATCTTGCAACTTTTTATTAGCAGTTTTTCTTTCAATACCTCACTAGGGCACATTTTTATTTTGTTAGAGTTACATCACACACTCATTCTTCATGAGAAGTAATTTAAGAGGCTACATCTCTCGCTCGTTCTTTGTGAGTAACTTGCTTTCAAAGTTATTAAGTCAGATGTCATAAATGGATTCTACTTCTTATGTGACCATCGGTTGAGTGTTCTCCATAAAACTCTAAGGTACTCAGAAAAAATACTCAGATGGTAAGAGTACGGCTCTGCCGAACCCTAAAATTCTGATTCGGTATCTAGCGGGGCAGTCACAAAGTATGTGCTCTGCTGTTTTATCATTTTCAAAACAGAGGCGATAATAACTCTTTTATTATCATTATGTTTGTATTTAGTATTCTTTTAAAAAATCTGTTTAAAATCTGTTTTTCCGTTAATCAGTAGGTCAGGTATTTTCAGCGAAGTCTTAATCATTATAAAATATGTATCCTCCATTATTTTCCAAAATACAAAAAATATATTGCACAATACTACCCCACATTGAACATGGTTAAAATAATGTTGCGACATATAATTATAATATTGCACAATGTACTAATTCTGCAGGATTTTCTTACAGGTGTTTTATCATGTGAGAACATGAAATATTTCGAAAATATTCCTCTGTACTTTAGAAGTTCTGTTGACATTTGCCTGTTCAACTTACATATTCCAACAAAATAAAATTCATACAAACAGAGCACAATCAAAAATGAAAGAAACCAATATAACAAATGAAGTTTGAAGTTAAGTTTCCAACAATTTTTTTTGGAAAAATACTGCCCTGGCTAATACCACGACGGGCATTGCTTTTCATCAACTAGATATTTATGCCATTTTTCCCAGAAAGATCATCTTTGCAAATGCGTTTTGATATATGTGCTTATAGCAGACTCGCAATAGGTATTTGTTAACATTTCACACACTTTGTTACTCTTCATTAGCGGCTTAGACAAAGTAAATAATGGATGCAGCTGAAAACTTTATCATAATTTAGTGGCACCGACATTGAAAAAAATCACAATATTCTGAACATACGTTGTAAATAGAGGAATCTGATATGAATTAAATAAAATTCAGATAGTGAATATCGAAAAATTCAAAATATATTCTTTAATATGTATTTTTTTAATCAGATTGGGGATATTTTCTGATGAAATGCTTACCTTTATTAGATTCTTCTCTCGCCTTGGATTTTCTAAACGTTTTCCCAGATCTCCGAGACTTCGCCCTGAACCTTCTGGGTACACTTTGCTTTTATTTCAACACAATTTTATTTTCTCAGGCTTTGGTACCGCTACACCTGCCAACGCAAACCCTTTTGGTCAGAGTCAGCTATTTGGAAAACCCGCAACGGGTGGGTTTGGAAGTCCTTCCACCTCCACTTTTGGACAACCAGCAACAAATTCCTTATTTCCCTCCACCCAAGCTCAACCTACAAATCTCTTCCAAAATGCCAATACATCATTTGGATCGCAGCCTGCTGCACAGACAGGATTTGGTAAGTATAGATAATAATAATAATATTTATTCAGTTGGATCATCTATAGATGACATTGAGTATGTCAAAACGTATACAAATACAAAATTAAAAATACAAATTCCATGCACTTGAAGGCACAAAATACAATTTACGTAGATAATTTAATATATAATAGTCAATACCTAAAATAATCTGCTATTTATGCAACAGCATCGTTATTAAAATCGGTCAAAAATGTTGGACATGTAGGTACATACTATATAAAAGTCAAAGCCAAAAATAATCTGTTAGTTATGTAACAGTATCATTATTAAAATCTTCCTAAAATATTACATATGTACAGGGTCATAAGTTATCATCCATATATTCTTTGAGAGAATAATAGACCATTGTCTGAGAACCACTTTTGGGTTTTCTTTATTTCATTAGATTGTTCATTAACTGTGGCTTTCATATTTTCCTGAGTTATCAATAAAGATGTGTCGTCAGCATACATAACGAACTGATCACTATAAAAATCATTTACATATATTATATATAAGAAAGTATGTGCTCTGCTGTTTTATCATTTTCAAAACAGAGGCGATAATAACTCTTTTATTATCATTATGTTTGTATCTAGTATTCTTTTAAAAAATCTGTTTAAAATCTGTTTTTCCGTTAATCAGTAGGTCAGGTATTTTCAGCGAAGTCTTAATCATTATAAAATATGTATCCTCCATTATTTTCCAAAATACAAAAAATATATTGCACAATACTACCCCACATTGAACATGGTTAAAATAATGTTGCGACATATAATTATAATATTGCACAATGTACTAANTATGGACGAGTTCTTATCTTCGTAGTGAACTCTCTTTGCTCCTTATAGCATTTTAAAGTACATGTATTGTTTGCCTAATCTATGTTCAAATTTCTTTTGACTTGTTTTATACCTTTTAGGTCGTTGAAACCAATAAAGATAATTATTATTATTATGTCTTCTTTTTTCCTCGTGGTATGGTGCTTTGAGCACCATACATACTGATTCAGAATATTCATTTACATATTTCTACATTTGAATTGTTCGTAGGGTCGAACCTTTTTGGACAGCAGCAGCCGGCTACCGGTGGGTTGTTCAATACCTCGACAACAGCTTTTGGACAACAGAATAAGCCAACTGGGTTCGGTTTTGGAGCGCAAACCACGCAACCTACCCTCTTTGGTCAACAAGCACAGCCCCAACAAAGTACAAGCATGTTTCAACCAGCTGCAGGTAGCCTGTTTGGCGGTTCTACTGCTTTTGGCGGTCAACAATCAACTGGTACTGTTGTCAAGTTCAATCCCGTCACCGGTACTGACACAATGATGAAAGGTGGAGTGGCCCAAAGCATCAATACCAAACATCACAGTATCACGTGCATGAAGGAATACGAGAATAAGTCCTTCGAGGAATTGAGGTTCGAAGATTATGCTGCTAATAGAAAAGGTAAGTGTGTTTTGAACAATGAGCTTATGTCTTATTGAGATAATTTGTAGGCCCCCAACAGCAATCAGGGTTCGGAACAACGACACCTTTTGGAACTACTGTATCTTCAGCGCCGACACTGTTTGGTCAACCGGACGCTTCAAAATCCGCTTTTGGACAAACCACAGGCTTCGGACAAACCACCACAACCTTTGGACAAAACACCGGGTTTGGTCTGGGTACACAGCAGCAACAAACCGGTGGACTATTTGGGAAACCTGCAACAGGTAACTGTTTTATGCATGAGATTATTAATTATTAGATATCTTAGGCAATAAATCATTTTATTTATCATGTAAATTTCTGAAAATCTGAAACTTAGTTACACACTTTCAGGTTTTGGGGCAACAACAAGTACACCATCTCTGAATTTCGGTTTCGGCAGCACTCAAACTGCTAATCCTTTTGGTGCAACTCAAGCTAAACCTTTCGGTAGTAGTTCTGGTTCGATTTTTGGAACGAACACCGCAACTACTCAAGCACCTACCTTCGGAACTGGGCTCTTTGGACAGACAAATACAACACAGGTGAGTGTTGAATCAGAATTTATGATCAGCCCATTGAGGTTGATAACATATTGAACTTCAAAGATCACTTCAAATACACAGTAAAATAGCAAAAAAAAAACTATTCTTCTTCACCCGTGTCAGTAGCTTCCAAACGTGTATAATACAATAATACAACCTTGAATACTGGTCCAGCTTATTATCATTGTTAAACAGTAATACTATAGAATCCTTGCAGAAGTTGCAAAATAGAGATTATTTTGAATGCAACAGACTCACTCCTATCATAATTAGGCATCAACCAGTTCATTACATACATTAATATATGTTTCTCGTACACATTATTTGAAATTTATGAACTCAACTTTTCATCGTGGTTTGCTAGAATTTAATATATGTTTCCAATGAAGGTCAAGCAGTCTTGTTTGGTGAGAAAATTCAAGAATGCTTTGATTGAATATAAATAAAACCAAAATACTAAATATTATCTATTTGTAACAGTGTTAGCACTTTGAATTATTACTGTAATACATCTATTGCATACTTATAGCAAATATTTGTTTGTTTCATTTATTTATTTGCTTTTTGTTGTTAGATGTATATTTATTCATGTTTGTATTTATTATGGTAACCAAGAAAAATCTCTGTTTATAGAGGGATAAATCATATCAAGCAATTTACTTGTATATGTGAGTTCTATTTTATTTTATAATTCAAGTATGATTTGTAAACATTTTTTTATATGTATATTAAGTGTCCTATTTCAATAAACAATTTCAATTAATAATTTTTACGCAGAACACAGCAGGAACTTTGTTTGGAAAACCAGCTCAGCCAACAACAGGATTTGGAGCAACGCCGAATACAGGATTTTCTTTTTCCACGCCAGCTTCAACACAACCCAGTCTCTTCAGTCAGCCAAGCAAACCACTGTTTGGTCAACCTACAACAAATACAGGATTTGGGCAGACAAATAACGCTTTTGGAGCGACTACTTCTCCATTTGCTAATTCGTTTGCTAAAACAACCACGCCTGCCTTTGGAACCACACCGAATACGGGATTCGGAACCACGTTGGGAGGTGAGTTTTAAGAAAGCAAGGACGATGTTACAGATATTTTGAATGACATTTAACATATTTTTCAGGCGGCTCTCTATTTGGCAATACAACTAATAAACCTGGCGGATTGTTTGGAAACAACACCGGCAGTACTGGATTGTTTGGAGCCTCAAATAACACAGTGATGGGCGTTTCTGGATTCGGTGTTCCTCAACAGCAACCTCAGCAGTCGTAAGTAAAACATGAATTTCCAAATGATGGAGGCTGATCATTTTTCTCTATCTCTCTGCAGCTTTCACTTGACAGTGATTGTTTTTTTCAATATCTAAATTTTCTGTGAGCACAATATTTGAATAATCTGTATCATCCATCTAATTATATTTAGAGTGATCTTTGAATTTTTTCAATACCATTCAAGTAGAGATAAATCGCATTTGTGTATTTCAGAATGTTTCCACCGCCTGAGCAAAACAATGTTACGTCCAATTTGGCGCTCCTCACTACAGATCCCTTTGGGGATGCTCCACATTTGGCAGGTTTAGAACCAAAGTTGAAGTCATACAATCATTTGGTCTCGACAACCGATCCTAAAGAACTGAAGTCGTTGTTGGACGCCTCCAAAAAGGTAGATACCACCAGTGGATTAAAATTGAAGATCGTTCCGATAAGAACTGTGAAGGTAAGTTTTTCTTTACTGTCGAATTTCATTGTTTGATTATTCAGTTATATTGTTCATTGCAGGATACTTTGTTTGATGGAATCGCCACTAAGTCGAATATGAGTATCACTTCTCCTGATTACTACAAAACTAATTGTAGACGATTAGTGCTGAGAAATCGTCCAACTCCTTCCGATGATACTCGTTCTCCAGTAATAGAGAAAGGAGATATTTTGAGTTACATCAATTCTTCTGTAGAACCTAGGACTACTGACAGAGTAGAGAATAAAAATGAACCTGTTATTCCCAATGCTGTGCGACCAAATCCTCTGAGGTTACAATTTGATAATACGATAAATGGTAATCAGAATAGCCAGATTATCTCGCAGACCTTTACCCTCAATAATTCTGAAATAAACAGTGTCTCAAGTAAGTACCTGTTTCTATTTACCAATATGTTGTTTCAAAAGTGTTGAAGTTTTAAATAATTCCATCAAATTCCAAATATCTATGACTGGATTGTTCACATTTCAAAATATTTTGTTATATTTTATATTTATGTAATTGCTAATAGTTCAGTCATGAAAATGATGTGGAATAATGGTGGGAAGTTAGGCATGTACTTAAATAATTGGGAAAGTGATGTAAAAATATTCCATCATACCCACTGCGCCGTTTGAAGTTCAGATTTGTCAGTAGTGTGCTATTCAGTTTTTTTTTTGTCTTATACGTTGACTAATAACTCCTCTTTCAGTAACTGAGGATAATGGTAGTTCTCCAGTGCCTGAAATTGAAATAGAAGAAGAACCTGTCGGTGAATTGGAAGTGCAAACGCCAAAGTCATATGCTCATGGCATCATTTGCACCAGACCCGAGTATTATACCCTACCCAGCCTTGAAGACCTAGTTAAATATACTGACGAAAGTGGTAAATGTATTGTCAAAGGTTTTACCATTGGTAGGAAAGGGTACGGTAACGTTTATTTCCCCGACGAGATGGACGTAGCAGGCTTGAATATAGATGAACTTTTGCACTTCAGATATAGGGAAATTAATGTGTATCCTGATGAGGCTAAGAAACCACCAGTTGGAGAGGTGAGTGTATTTCTGTTCCAAATTTGAGATTGAAAAATAATTTATTCAGTAATGATGACTTAGCTGTGTCTCGAGAGAGACTTTTTTAACCCTGGTCCCACCCTGGCTATGTCAGTGAATTCAACAATGCACTGTGTTTGGCAAAGTATAAATTTCACCTTTGGGATAACCACAGCGATCATTGATATTGATAATAATAATATTTCCATGTGATAATAACATAGAAAACAAGTTAATACACGTTGAAAATGACTTACATCCTCCTCTCTAATCTGCCTTGTAAACGATTTCACATTTTAGAATTCCTTTCGGCAATAAATGAAAAAATACCCCCATTTTTTTTATTAACACGCTTTCATTAACTTCACCTGTATCTATGTATGTTTGGGAGCGCGTGAGTCATGCAGACCATTATTTTTGAGAGAAAAAATGCTCACTGTTACTTGTAATTTCATACTTGAAACTGTTTGCCTGATTTACAAAAAACATAATATGGATGGAACTCCGGAACATACAAATTACATAACCTGGCAAGTAACTGAAAATAAAATACATCTTCCTGTTCTAAAAACGAACCAAACAAAGGATTCTTTAATTTATGAAAGTAAAAAGCTGTATAATCACATACCTACGAAATTAGGAAGGAAAAAAGCTATAAAAAGTTCAGAAATCTTGTTGAAGATGCCCTTGCAACTAAAGCGTACTACAATCTTGATGAATATTACAATGGAACTTTGCTGTGATTTAATATGTGTGTTTTTTTTTGTTGTTTATATTGACACCTATACTTTAAATTATATTTTATACTGGGATATATCTTATTTTATTGCCAGGACATGTGAACTTAAGTTCAAATTGTGTTTATTTGTTATTTACATCTTTTGAAAGGGACTATACATACTACCCATAGAAATTTCCTATGTTTTGGAGGCAAAGTTTTTGGGGTATTGAAGAAAAATCAAAATTTTCTGATTGATTCGGCTGTTATTTGATGAAAATCCATAGTAATTTCAAAAACTACACCTCAACGATTTGTTCTCCACAAACTTTAGCGAAACATGTTGTTATATATTTTTCAAATAAAGATTGTGGAGATCAAATCGTTGGTGTGTAGTTTTTGAAAAAATCTAAATGTCAAAGTCATGAACAGTTTGACTGACACCTATTTGATGAACGATCTATATAAAATGTGTTTTTGATAAAATCAATAAGTGTGAACACATTGTTGATTTAAGGATAGAATTTTTGAATTCACATTGACAGTTCACTATGTGTGTGCTCCTACTGTCTATGATTTTCAGTGTCTTTCATCTCTTGTCGAAAGAATTTCATTAATTGGATTTATTTGTTTCAGGGACTAAATCGTAAAGCCCAGGTCACTTTAGATAACGTCTTTCCAAGAAGACCAGGAACGAATGTACTAATAAAAGATGTATTAGAATTGCTGCAAATGAACTTCGCCGAAAAATTGAGAAAAATAACGGTGAACAAAGACGCAAAATTCGTTGATTATCGACCAGAGACTGGATCGTGGGTTTTCAAAGTTGATCATTTCTCAAGATATGGGTTCGACGAAAGCGATGAAGAAACTGTTCAGGTAAACGGCAAGGAGGTCGCTAAGAAAAAATTAGAGGAAGCTAAAAAGCCGGAGTTGAATTTGCTGGGTCCTAAATCTGTCGAAGAACTCGCCAAGGCTGAAGCATTGAAGAACGTAGAGACAGGCAAGGAAATGCAGGTAAGAAGGTTTATTTGAAATGTAGGATTATGAACTACAGTTAGATTTTTACAGGTGGCAACACTTGGAGGAAATAAAGATGCATGTGTTGAAGAAGATCATTTTCAAGGTGAAGATGATATAATTCATCAGTCTATGTACGTTGATGATATTTCAGAAGAGGACTATTGCACTATTCCGACAGATATCCCCATGCACTTGGCTTACGATCCATTCCAGACCAGTAAAAACATTCAAGTTATGAAGTCGACCCTGTTCGCAGATGATGACAGATTTTCAGATGGTGGTGGAAGTCACATTTCCATCATCAGACAGTTCTTGGATATTCCCGAAGATATACCTAGACTTCCTGTGCTTCGTGAAGAGGTACTTCCAAAGAAGAAAATTCTTCTGAGACCGAAAGTAGAACAGGTTTATAATTTTGGAGGTGAGTCAAGTGAGGTTTTTATATTTCAGTGGTTTACTAGAAAAAAAATTTTAGCTTGCGAAATTCCGAGCCAGATCATTCAAAGCAGGTGTTATTTAGATTTTGGTATGTTCAAAGGAAAATCTTTCAAAGTCGGGTGGAGCAAAGGCTTCAACCTTCTTGGTTTGAATAACAAAATTGGAGAAATTAATGGGCTGTTAGCTTTGAATACCATTGTATGTGGTTCACAAAAAAACTTTGACCCATTGAAGGTAAGTGTTTTGAAATTATACTTGTTTTCATGTATATTATTTTATTAAAAGGAACAAGGATCTTTGATCGTGGTAATCTCTTACTAGCTTCGACACTGAACTACTAAGAGGAAATCGCTTTCTGTGTCTCTATAGCATTCACTCATTTCGACCTTCTGTAGTACTGAAGTAATATCTACTTTACGATATGTTCAAAGAGTAATACATTCATTGAAATTTTCATTTCATTATTCAATCATTTTCTGAAGGGAGTAATAGGTTTTCTCTAGTAGGAAAGACTTAAGTGTAATTTTGAAGCTGTGGATAGAACTAGAGTTTTTCATCGATACACTTGGTATATGTGGTAAGTCAGGGTATATATTTAAAATATGACATTATGAGGACCCCAAGTCAAATAATCAAATGAGTAGTACATTCATTAATATCAATATTAAAGAATATTGAAACATTCCCCATTGTAAGTCAGTGCATTTTTACAATATGGCATATGATAGTCTGTCTTGCACCTAGTATCAATAGAACAGAACACGAGCTAATGACCACAGTAGACCATCTCATTAAAACAGAACAAATTCGGTTTTTTTGATAGATTTCATGATGAATGATTGACTGAATGGAGAAATTTCAATGACTATTTTTCAGGAATGCCTGAATGACTCTCTGGAAATAGTTTTACAAGAAAGCAGTTACACTTTGGATGTCAATCGCATACCAACTTTCAAAATAATAAAAAATCATTCATATCTTAAAAAACAGATAACTTTATTCTCAAAGTTGATGGCGCAGCGTGATACGAAAGAGTCTCAGTACTTGCACAGTATATGGACATTGGCGGAAGCCCTCTGGGGACCCACTGAAGAAACAATTTCTAATCGCAGGCATCTTTTGAGTGAGTGGTGAGTATGAAGTTATTACTTTGAATTTTTAATGAATTGTATGAGGCATAGATAATAAGTGTAATATCTCAGTAAATACTCATTCATTATTAGTTATTATATCTTGTAAGTTTGGGATATATACTATAATAAAGATTACTACTACATCGATCAAAGCATACACCTCACTACCTCAAGTACTGAAAGATATCAAAGGCCTGAAGAGGTGCAGGAGTTCTGTCATAAGTTACTTGAAACAGAAACACTATTATTCCTTTAATTGTTGGATGTAATAACGTGTATTGGTTTTAGATACTCTTTCAACTGTGCTTCTCAGATTTTTAAATTCAGCTGTATACTTAAATTCTTGNTATGTCAGTATGGATCATATGAGGATCATCTATTTTATGTATTTTTTTGCCCAAGTTTGCATCATCTGCATACAATATAGTTTCTATGTCTGACGAGTTCATCACGTGAGGTGGGTCGTTGATATATATTAGAAACAAAAGTGGCCCCAATATTGACCATTGTGGCACTCATCTTAATATTTTTATTTTTTCACTTTTGGTATTTCCTAGATCAACAATTTGATATCTTTCGTTGTGGTATGATTTCATCATGTCCAGGCAGACACACTTGCTTTTTTTAAACCTGTACCTGACGTTTGCTGTGTCCTGTGATGATCGTTTTGCAATAAAAGTTTTGCAATAAAGTATCATAAGTATTTATGTATACCTTTATAAAAACATATTTGTATATTGGGTGCTGCCCGTTAGTTGAATAAATAAATAAAATAAATTATTAAATCAACATAGACCCCATTTGAAGTCAGCACACTTTTGCCAATGTAACACAAGTCGATTATTTCGTTATTGCATTTTTTTGAAAATGTCCTTCTAGGACAAAACTGCAGTAACGTAGTAACGGCTACATCCATCAATCTATTGTTATAGACACTGAATTTTTTTCAACATTATTATTTTAGGTTGAAAGTGAATACGAACTTCAACGACTTGTCAACCAAACAGCCAGAGAAAGAAATATTCAATCTCCTGTCCGTATTCAAAATCCTTGATGCTGCAAATCTGGCAATGGATAAGAGATACCCCAACTTGGCATTGATAATTTCCCAACTGAGTCTAACAAATAGGACAAAAATTTTCCTGCAGGAACAAATAGAGAGCTGGTACAAATCTATGATTGCCAATCATATTAGCGAAGATATGAAGAGAGTTTACTTGTTGTTGAGTGGAATTCCTGTCAAGGAAACTCTGAATATCTTTCACGATGTCGATTGGAAACGGGCGTTCGGGATGCACCTTTGGTACGTTTCACCTGCCAGTGCTCCGGTGGAAATGGCGATAGAGCTTTATAAGAAGGCTTTTGAGGAACAGGGATATGCGGAAATGCCGTACCCACCCTACAGGTCTGGTTACGTTGAAGAAGGGTCTTTTGATGTCCTGTACCATATGCTGCTGCTTTACAAAACTAGGATACACAGACTAAGTACCGTTTTGAATCCCATGACTCATACTGATGATAGTTTGGATTACAGATTGAGGTGAGTAGGAGAGAGAAGCATGTGGATCCATTACAGTTTACCAAAATGTACACTAAATCATGAATGTAATACATTATATACATTAATTAATTGATATACATTTTATATGTCAATAATAAACAAACGACCTATTGAGTAAAAGACTTGTAATGGTGCTGATGCAAATATTGTTAACATTTATTTTTTTGGTAAATAAGATACATTTCTAATATACAATAACAAAATTTAAACTAACAAATAATTGATTAATATTCATGACTTATTATCTTATTAGAAATACCTTCAGTTATGAATTGAAGGGGTTATATTTTTAGGAGTGATTAATTTTTGGGAAAGAAAGTCTTTGGCTTTCTACTACTCCATCTAGATACAAAAGAACTTTCAGACACAAACTGAAAGAAAGTCCTTCTGAAACAGCTACTCTCATATAAACATCGAATTACCCGAAAGAAAAAAATTCTTTCAAAACAAATACTTCTATATGAACACTGTTGAACACTGTTTGTATTTCAAACATTCGTTGTGGAATTAAAAGCAGATATCATTCACATGAGTTCTACTTTAAATGAATGGTAATAA